TGCACATTGCACCCCGAGCGCTCACACTGAGCTACAGCCCCAGACCCTCTGTTCTGCGACAGGTGCTCAGTGAGGTACCCAGGCTGGGACGGAATGCTCCATCTCCCTGCGCAGCACTCCAGCGCACTGCGATTGTGCTGTGCACTTCCTCGCCCAGCTGGAATACTTTTCTGAGATGTAAGAAGGAGGGAGTGAATTCTTTCAGAACTGAGCTACTCTGTGGACTGTGTGTCAATGCTTTTCAGCTTTAATGGGATCGGAGAATTAATCTTCATAATGTACATTTGGACAACACTGTCAACAGCGTAGGGAAACATGTGGATCACCAATGTGGTTAACTCTGTTATTCACTCTTAAGAACCTTGAAGAGGCCCGAAACCACGAGCTGGACAACCATCAGAAGGCCGTCGCCACACTACAGAATCTGCATGTAACAAAAATAGCCCATCTGAGACGTCAGCATCAAGAGAAAATGACCAAGGTAACGCTGCACTACAAACAGTGAGGTCCCCGCTCGCACAGTGTGGTCAGTGGATGGCAGGAGGGGAAGCGCGCACTGATGAGAGCTGTAATTTATTCGTGTAGTCTCTTTTTGAACTTCTTGTGAAATTTCTACAAACGCAGAATCCTATCCAGCTCTTTCACCACTCACATTTGCTGTTCATGACATAAAACCTCTAGTTTCACCAAGGAGCAGAGAACTAAATACAAATATACCAGAAAAATTATCGAGTAAAACCAGGAGCTTATTTTTTTCACAGTGTTCAAATGTGAACGTTTAACTTCAGATTTTGCTTTACAGTGATATTAGCTAAATTACTGTTCTTGAAAATATGTAAAACTGATTCTAAAATTTCAACAAGGCATCAGATTTTGACTTTATACATTACAGCAATCTGATATTTAATTGTTTTCAATTAATTTAAATTGCATAAACAATTTTTTCTTTTTCTGTCAGATAATTCTATCTCTGCATACGCTATGTTGAAATTCTTCTGGACATTGTAGGGAAGTGGCCAAACCTTTGCCTGGTCACCTGTTTTCCTTTCCAACTAATGGTTCTGTTGACTAATCAGAGTTAGATGCTGAGTTTATTCTCTTGAGAAGATTCTTTTTCTCTTGAAAATCTAAGTGTTATACTCAGTAGCAAAATCTGGACATGAAAATAATCTACGCTCAGTTTAGTAGACCGATGTTTACCTCCAAGAATGTTATGAAGCAGTCTTACATGGAAGAGTTTGCCTGGAAGGGATGAGTGATGGATCGTGTATGCATGTCTACATAATTTCTTACCCTATTACTAGGTTGTGAGGGTCTTATCTATCTTCGTATCACAGATATTGACATGTAGTAATATTTAGTGAGCTGAAATTGTATTATCCATTAGACTATGAACAGTTTTCATTTTACTTTAATTTTTTATTGGCATATGTTTCCAATACATGGGCAATTGGCACATGTATATATCTTGATCACTTTCAGTCTTCCCTCCCTGACACCTGGTTTCTTAATCCCTTTCCATTCTTAATAAAGTTTGTCTTTACTCTTCAATTCATTGATAGTTTGGATTTCTTGTAGGTGACAAAGCAATATTTAATTTTCTGTGTCTGGCTTACTTCACTTAATGTTATTGTCTCAAGTTCCATTCATTTCTCTGCAAGTGGCATGAATTCCTCTGCCTTTATGACTGAATAAAATCCCATTGTATATATACACCATTTTTCCTTCATCGTCTGTTGCCAGAGCTTAGCTATTGGGAGATCTTTTTTTCTGAAATCTTCATATTTTAACATGGACTGTCTACAGGTGTGGAGGACCACCTGGATGACTCTCCTTGAAAGAAGAGCAATTATCTTTCTTTTGCCTAAACTTGACCCTATTTCCATGTATTGATATATACAAAGCTGGCTGGGACTTTGCCTTATCTCCTGGATTGGCTTTAAACAATACAAATTGGTCTAACCTAGGTGCTGATGTGTAGTCTTATGAAGCAAGGTGACAGGTCATTATGTCTTGCCCTATAGCTCCCAAGAAGCATGTGTGAGCTGTGTTGGTAGGAGAGCCACACTTCAGGCCATGGGCTGGGATGGAGCCTCAAGATAAGAGGTTATGACTTCCCAGAGCATAAAAAAATTACACACCAGAGTTGAAGTACTGACCCTAAAACATTACTATTTTAAATTGTGTCATGAAGATTCCTCTTTCTGTATATCCTTCTCTCTGCATATTGCACAGGTGATTTCAGGCCTCCTACCTAGCAGAGCTCATGACACTTCCTACTTCCCACCATTCTCACAGTCACTCATCCCCAAGCCATTGCCCTTGTTGCAAATTAATAAAACCTGGGTTAGGCCTTGGGTTGAGGCCTTGTCCCAGTCAGCCATCTTCCTAGCTGGACTTAGGATCCCATGGTTCCCCATAACTACAAATATGCCTTAGTGTCTTTATTCTCACCATGGGTTGCACTGGAAGTGGTAGATTGGAATTAACTCACTAGAATTCCAATAACTTTTTTATGGGATTACAAATATAAACTTCCCAGACCTTGACAAGGACCTGGAAAGTCTCTTTATACAATCATATGTTATCACACATTCTTCAGTTTATACCACACATATATTTAATTTTAGTTAACTATTTATATTCTGGAATTTTAAAAACTTCCTTAGTTATTTAGACAAATATTTCTATTTTTCTGAACTCTTATAGAAAGATAAAGTAATAAAATCTAGCTGTCATTTGCATCAATGTTTGCCTGCTAAATTTAGTGAAAAGGTGTAACTTCATCTAAGAGGTGGAGAAGATTTGGAAAACGTTTTTCCTTGCTGTACTCAGTGTAGCATCTTGAAGGGGATCTCAAATTCCTCTTGTCCAGATCTCATTCTCCCTCTTGTTTTCTCTTCTTCCTTCTCTTCTTTTCCCTTCCTCCCCTTTTTTTTTAAAAAAAATGGAGTCCAAGCCCTGCTAGGTTTGTGTTGCTTAGAGACACAAACAAGTGGAGGTTTAAGTTGATACAGGGTTTGCAGGACAAAAAGCAAGCTTAGTCTTCACCCTGTGCTTAGAAGTGTGTCCGAGCTTAGAAGGGAACACCAGGCGCTATTCCATTTGGAAAGTTACCATTTACAGGAAATCCAGCTAAGAATCCAGGAACCTCAGTGACAAGACCACTGAATAAACTTATTTCAAAATTTCCTTTGCTTTAGGCCTCCTTTATTCTTTGTTTTCCTTTGTTGAATAAAGCACTATCAGAGGTTTGCTTTCATCAGTGAAGTTGTGAGTAGTCCTGGGTAATAAAGCACAATTCTGGGCACTAAGACATGAGACCATAAGCTGAATACCTATTCCAATACAAATGAATTGTTTCAGCCCAGCATGGTAGAGAAATCATCTAATTGAGAATGAGATTATTTAATGCCTAAAACATGATCAGGTAATGCATGCACATAGTGTTTTCTTCTGATGAATGGACTCTAAATATCATTGTAAAATAGCATTTTCATGAGTGTTGCAATGACTGGGAAATCTTCAATTCTTGAGTCCTTCATCCAGGTGGGTGAGCAAAGTGTTTACCCTGCAACCTTGAACATACCATACTAAAGGGGATTATTCTAGTAGATGAAGTTTTATCTGTTTTATAGCTGGTGATTAAGAAAAACCAGCATTAATATATTTAATAGAGCATTAATTAGACATAGAAACAACCTTCCCTTCTCTTTTTTTTTCTCCCAGTCTTTTCTCTTCATTTCTTCACACTCTCACCCATCTGCATTTCACAGACCTCTCCTCATGGGATCCAGACCCAGCAGGATATGAATTATACTTATTTGGGAGTCAAATCTGGAAACACAAAACATATGTAAATAATTGTTTTTATCCTTAAAGGTTTGAATTACTGAGACTAATCTGTAGTCAGATTTTCATGATACAAATTAGTATTTATGGGGGGCTGGGGACTTAGCTCAGTGGCAAAAGTGCCTGCCTGGCAAGTGCAAGGTCGTGAGTTTGGTTCCCGGTACCGGAGAAAAACCAAATTAGTATTTATGCTTTAGAATTGAGCTCTATTTTTGCTCTCATTTCAGGTAATTGAAGGACCATCCAATAACTGCTCTCAACATGTGTTATTATCAGCAAGATGGAATTTTAAAATTGATAGTAGCCTGGTGTGGAGGTGCATGTCTGCCATCCCAACACTCTGTGGAGGCCGAGGCAGGAGGATTGTTGTGAGTTTGAGGCCAGCCTAGTGGCCCCACACTCTGTGCACCTCTCAGTTGGCAGGTGAGGCCTGAACCACAGGCTCCACAGGCTCCTTGTAGACAGGGAAGCAGCGCAGGAGCAGCCCCCAGTCTCTGTGGACCTCTTGGTAGGCAGGTGAGGCCCACCCTCCCTCAACCAGCTGCGTGAGGACCCCAGAGCAGTGGCTCCTGTCTAGTCACCATTGGGTTCATGCTGAGGCCCACACACTTTCCATCAATGGCCTGGAGATCCTGGTACTGAAGGCCAGCATTCCCCCACCATCACAGTTGTGGTCTGAGCCATGTGGCCTACCATCCACCTGGCAATCTTGGTCCCAGTGGTCCACTGCCCTCTACCATCCTGGGATAAATCTGACATCCAGATAAGGCAGGGTCCCTAGAGGCCTCTTGTGAGCTGCCCAGGAAGCGTGTGGCTCAGCACTTTCCTTCTAACATCCAAATGACAAGAAGTAGGAGCAAAATGCAATCTCAGAACTCAACTCTATGCAGAACAAGTCCAGGAGACACTGACATAGGATAACTTGGAAGTCACATAGTGAAATCTCTGAAATGATTGCAACTGAGGTAAAAAAAACAACTTCATCAGGCCATAGAAGAAATCAGATCAGAAGTAATCTCCCAGGTAAAAAAAGAAATGACATCAATAACGAAAGAACTGGTCAGCACATCTAAAGAAGACATATGTAAAAAAATGGATGAGCATAAGAAAACGATGGAAACCTTAAATGAACAACACAGGACAGAACTAGAATGCATGAAACAGATTAAAAAATATATCCAGGAAATCAAGACTTCCATTGAAAGTTGGAAAAATTGCTTGAATGAAGCCAAAGACAGACTTTCTAATCTTGAGGACAGCATTGCTGCCAACAATCGTGAAAGGAAGGATCTCTTAAAAATAACAAAGAACCATGAAATATTAGTTCAACAACTGCAAGATGATGCAAAGAGAAGCAATGTTAGATTAATAGGCATCAACAAAACAGCAGGAGTCAATACAGATGACATAAAAAGAATATTTGCAGAAGTAATAGCAGAAAATTTCCCAAGCATGGAAAAAGAATCTGACATACAGTAAGTGAGGCAAATAGAAACCCAACCAGCCACAACCAAAATAAAATGACGCCCAGACATATAATAATCAAGATTCCAGATATCCAGCAAAAGAACAGAATAATAAAAGCCATTAGAGAAAAGAAACAGATCGCCTATAAAAGAAAGCCCATCAGAATCATGGCAATTTCTCAACATAAATCAAGTTAAGAAGAGCTTGGAGTGAAGTATTCCAGATCCTCAAACAAAATAATCTCCAACCCAGATTGATGTATCCTGCAAGGCTATCCTTCAAATTTAATAGAGAAATAAAATATTTCCATAACAAAGAACAACTGAAGAACTTTACAAGTGCCAAACCAACCCTACAAAGAGTACTGAAAGATATTCTAGAAAGAGATAGAAATGACAATTCCAAGAACAACAATAGTAAGGAATCACCTTGTACAGCAAGCAATTAAACAGAATGTAAAAGTAGGAAACCAACAACAGGTAAATAAAGCCAACATATTTCAGTTATAACCACTAATGTAAATGGCCTCAATTCACCAATGAAAAGAAGCAGACTGGCAGAGTGGATCAAGAAACAAAATCCAACAATATGCTGTATACAAGAAACATATTTAACTTAATAGGAAATTCATAGACTGAAAGTCAAAAGATGGAAAACAGTCCTCCATGTGACAGGAACCCAGAAAAAAGCAGGGGTAGCTATTCTACTCTACTTGCAGACAATGCAAACTTCATACCAAGACTGATTAAAAGAGATAAAGAAGGTCACTACATACTTGTCAGGGGAAAACTTCAAGAGGAAGAGATAACAATCATAAATATGCATGCAACAAATGTGGGAGCACCAAACTATATTAGATAAATCTTAATAGACATAAAAAACCAAATAACTAACAACATTATTGTAATGGGGGACCTTAACACCCCATTGGCACAAACAGATAGGTCAACGTGACAAAAAATCAGTAAAGAAATAGAATAATTGAATAAAACTTGTGAACAAATGGACTTACTAGACATTTACAGAGTGTTCCTGTGGAGAAAAAGGAACAATTTTCCATGGCTGGTGGGAGTGTAGATTGGTGAAACCACTGTGGAGATCAGTTTGGAGATTCCTCAGTAAACTAGGTCTAGAGGTCCCATTCAATCCAGCTGTTCCCCTTCTGGGTATTTTCCCAGAAGAACTGAAACATTGTATCACAAGTGATATATGTTCGCTCATGTTTATAGCAGAGAAATTTGTAATAGCTAAGTCATGGAAGCAACCCAAATGCCCATCCACTGAGGAATGGATAAAAAAGTTGTGGTAAATTTACATAATGGAATATTACTCAGCTACAAAGAAAGATAATCTTGAGGCTTTTATCGGAAAATGGACACAACTAGAGACCATCAGACCTGCATGTGTAAACACTGTATTATTTCACTGGTGTAAAAATCTGAAAGAGTGACTAAAATCTAGGAAGTACAATAGACACTGTGAAAGGGAAGGAAACTGCTCAAAAGGAAAGAACAACTGGGATGAGGGAAAAGAGAAAGGAAAGAAGGGGAAATATATATATACACAGGATAGCTAACATAGCTGTATTACTGACTTTTATTGCTCTATTGAAACAAACAGTTAATGCTTAAGTATAGGATCAACCTTACATGCCTATATTTGTCTATCTGAGTATCCAAATTGAGTATATCAATATGGATATCAAATACAACAACCATTATTAATTTCCTATCACCTTGTCTGAGATTCTGATTGTATTGTTTTTGTGTTTTTTCTAAGTGTACGTGTGTTTGTTAAGATGTTTTCATTCTTTTATCTTTAAAATAAAAATAATTTAAAAAAAAAGAGGCCAGTGTAGGCTACAAAGTGAGTTCATGGCCAGCCCAATCTGCACAGCGAAACCCTATCTAAAAAGACCAAAAAAAAAAAAAAAAAATTGACAATAGTGGTGAAAGAATTATTCATCTTTTTGTGACTGATTTGACCACACAGTGAGGACTTTTTATGCTATTATTTATATTCACAAAGTTTTTTCAACCTGATTTCTTTGTGAAAGAGACTAAATAATGCCTGTTTTATCATTTATGTGTGGCAGAATCGAAAGAAGGTACAAGAGACATGACTCTATTCCAGTTCCCCCCTCTGCAGCAGTGCCTGTTATTGACCCAGCCGGCCTGGCTTCTGGAGGGCCTGGCTGTCTTTGCAGCCTGTGTCACATGTTCTACCACGTGTGTACCTTTGCTGGTGTCACCTACAACAGTGCTGGATTTGTACTAAAGACCTTTAAAAATAAGAGGTGCTTCTCCAGGCAAAGACGTCAAGCATTTTAAAGAAACAATCAACACAGTGATTATGAATACACTTTATCACAAATTGCCCTTTTGGAAAAATTTCTGTAGTTGTTGTCATTGTAATTTTCCAAAATTTAATAGAAATTTTTTTAGTTGTTTTAGAAATTTCAGATGTCAGAGAAATTATATAATCTGCTGTTTTTCCTTCTCTGATTGACCTAATTTAAGCCAGAAACTTTTTATTTATCTTTTGTCTTAATGTGCATTTTGTCCTAAAATGCTATTCTATTTATACGTTTATTTCCTTCCCTGAATTTGAAGCTCATTTAAGCCAAAGATGTGGTTCGTCTTCCAAAGGTAGTAAAATGTTTTAGAAAACTGATCCACAGCAAATACGAATGGTCTTTAGAGAACTGTGTGCAAACAACAATGTTGTCCTTGGAGGTCATAGAGACCTGAGATGGAATGTATATTTGGTTCTCTACATTTTTGTCACCTGTGCACACTAGATGTCCACTGCCACAAGGTCAAGATGCAACACTCCTCACAGGGACACCTTGTGCTGCTCATTTCCAACCATCCTCACCCCTCCTGCCTCCCACCTTAACCCCTGACAGCCACTGTGTTCCTTGGACAGAAGCCTCTGTGAGACAAAAATCAACCCTTTCCCTTATTAAGTTGATTATCTCAGGTGTTTTGTTACAGCAATGGAAAGTTGACTAACACACTCCTCTGCTCATTTCCTTCCCTATTTCAGCTATACCCCACAGTCTGGCTAGTACTTCCAAAGAATTGCACCACGGCCATTCATCTGGAAAAACCCAGGTCTGGAGCAATCTGTCAGCCTTTCTGAGCCTGCTCTCCAGGACACCTCTGGGGCACAGCTAGAGGAAATTCACACAACAGATTCACATCTAGCTTCAGTGGGCCCCAGGACACTGTCACTCTTCTCTAGTGAGCTCTCTGCCACTGGTCACTGTGTACTCTCTTGATGTGTTTGTCCTCCAGCCTAAGCTCTCCATAACTGACTCATTCTTCACCTTTTCCAAGATCCTCCCTCCTGACCTATGCAACCTGCCTGGCCCTGTGCCTGGTTGGCCTCTGTGTCTGGAATAAACCTTTCCACCTTTTCTTGGTCAGTTGGCCCTTCTCTGGGTTGGGTTATAGGCCACCTGTCTGGAAGCTTAACTGTCCTCCTGGCTGCCCACGCTGGCCTCCTTCACTGTGCTCACATCCCCTTCTGTCACTTGTCTGTGACACTCTTATAACAATGGACCCTGTGCCATGAGCTCCGTGAAGACAGACAGTTAGGGCTCCCTTGGCACCTGGAGAGAAGAATGGCACCCATCAGCCAGCATTCAACAAGAACACTCTCCCCTGCTTTGCTCTGAGCAGCCCAAGGTCCTCCAGCCCTGGGTTCTGGGCCCCTGCACCCCTGCACCCCTCTGTACCCTCCCCAGACCAAACTTCCACCCTTTGCTGAGACTCCCCACAAGCTGTGCCCTTCAAAATGCTTCTCTGCTCTGAGCACTCCATGCTGGGCCTGTAGGTGTGCTTGTGTGGCCTCTCAATTCTCCCTTGTTATTACTTGGAAATATATAAGCTCCTTGGGCATAGGGTCTCTGCTATTCCACCTCTTATTCCTGGCTGTCAGCCTAGAAAATTCTAGAGCAATGGAAATGTAACAGAGGCCCTTAGTAGATATGAGTAGTAGTTTCCTTTGCAGCTGTAACAAGTTGTCACAAACTCAGTGACTTAAAATGACAAAAAATTCATTCTCTTACAGTTGTAGAGATCATGGCTTAAGTCAGGTTGTCAGTAGGGCTGGTTGTTCCTAGAAGCTCCAGGGAGAATCAGGTGTCCTCCTTTTCCTGCCATTAAGATGTGCATGAGAATCATGACTCAGGTCCACTTTCTTGTGTCACTCAAACCTATGCTTCTGTCCTCCTGTCTCTGACTCTATCCTTCCTGCTGCTTTCTTATAAGGATCCTTCTGATCCTATTGTTCCCCAGATAACTCAGGATCATCTCCACATTTGAAAGTCCACTAGGTCCCCATTATACCATAAAGTGCTTTTACAGGCCCAAGACCAGGTCACGGGTATGTTT